TTGGAATGGCTGATCTGGCCCAGGCCGCTGGAGCCGGTGCTGGTGCTGCCGGCTGAGCTGGCACTCCTGGTTGAGGCCCCGGTGGAGCTGTAGGTGGGTGCCTCCTTTCTGTCTCCACGTCATCCCTCAACTGGTTCAGCTGCATCTGCACACTCCTCCAGCGCTGCTCCTGCTTGTACGCTTCCCTCTCATGTGTCTGCAGAGTCTTCTCAAGGAGCTGACGTAGGGTTGCTAGATCAGTACCCTCTGTCTGCTGGTCTCCGCCCAATGCTTGGGCTCCAGCCTCGCCATCTGGGCATTCATCTGTATCCTCAACCTCCTTCGGGTCACCTTTGGCTTTCCGCCTGCATGCCATTCTCTCCCTGGACTGGCACCGTTTTCCTCCTCTATTAGCAAGTATCGGTCAGCGTACCATCCCACCGCTGCCACCAAATGTGGGGTACCGAGTGGCACCTCAAATACTTGGATGTCTAGGCTCACTGACTTTAGGTGGTGGAGGTGGAAAAGACGGTTACCACAACTCAATTGGTTCCAGAAAACAGAATAAAGTTTATTTAGATTTTAACTCAGAAGTCAAGAAAACAAAATAATAATTAAAAAAAATCAAAACAGCATAATGCCTCTGGCTTTCACCAATATTACAGCCAACACTTTGTACATAGCCTCACAACAAGCTAGTACTCCCCTCTCTCTCAAATGCAGAATGAGGCTCTCTTAAATAGGCCAAAGCATTAAGCCAAATTTGACCATACCAACAATCAGGGTATAACATTAAGCTTAAGGCCACAAATAAGCTCTAATCTAAATAGTAAATAAACATTACATGTAAATAAAATAATAATCATCATATCACCATCATTTTATACCACATTGATACCATCTACTCACACCACCGACATACATACAAAACATTATTACAAACAAACACCCCTGTGAACAATGCTCTGCACCCTCTGCCCCATGACACGGATAAATACTGCCCCTACAGCGGCGCGCGCATCCGCATAGGAATCAGTTGAACCGGACCGGGATGCAGGAAATGCGTGAGTCACAATATGTATGAATTTACTAGGATCTTAGCCAGAAACATTGAATAAATTGGACATTAACTAGTGGGTACCGCACTATATGTCATGTAGATGGTAAAATAGGAAATTATAAGCAGTGACAAATTAGGTTTGAGTTTTATGAATGAAATTGCGGACTACCCGCGTTACAAAAACACCAACTCGAATGAGTTAACGGCGCCTAGCCTCGCGCCAGCCTTCCCTTTACACACACCTCTCCCGACCGTGTTCACTAGCCATCCTTACACCTTCACAAAATAATAAAATTAGCCCGGCATCATTTTTTATCTAGGAGCATGTGTGTGTGTGCAAATGTGTATGCAAATGTCCAGAGTCTCTCCCGCTCTCGCGTATAATCCTTCAGTCAATGCGGGAGCGCGCAACAGTGAGAAGTGAGGTTCACTTTCTCACACCACTAAATGTGCTAAAGTGAATGTAGCGAGTGTGCGGTGCCGGAGGTGAGGCGTTTATTTAGTAAGTAAATAAACTTACATTCGCAGCCTGACTCATATGAGTATTCAATGTCCCGGCGGCTCGCTGACAGCAACAGCTGGCTGTTTTGAATGAGATGACCCGGTGAACGGGGGGCGCTTTATGAACATTCTGTGACGGGCGAGCAGCGCCGGGGACAGTGTGTCTGTTTGTGTGTCTGTTAAGAGTGAGCGCTCGTGAGCGGGAGACACACATAACCTGAGGGAGGATAAGGTTGAACTTGCCGTGTGACAAAGCGGGCATAAGACGGACACGAGCGTGAGTTCGCGGGCAAATTTAATAACTCAGAGCATTGTTAACTAATTGATCCATATATAAGTCGCTCCGGATTATAAGGCACACTGTCGTTTTTTGAGAAAATTAAAGGCTTTTAAGTGTGCCTTATAGTGCGGAAAATACGGTATCAGTCTCAAGCAATCCCCCTCTTCACATTCGACATGGTGCAACGCGAAAGGTGAAGCTTGAATTAACGGGTATGTCCCTCTTTGGCTAATGTACTTTCAAGATGGAGGGGCAACATGGCGACCGACTTTAGAACCCCTTACACGGGGGTTATATTACAATATAATGTATTTTCAATGGCATATTATACACTCACAAGATTACTTTATTACTTGGACGAAGTAAATATACATTAATAAGCACATATATTTTTGAAAGAACTAAGTGTTTTTAGCTAAGAAGAAACTAAAAAAGTTACACAGTGTAGCTTTAAACTTTTACCGTATCCAGTCCAGCTGTCAACATTAAACATTGAAAATAAGGGAGATTTCCCAGAATCCATCCCCAAAATAATGGATTTTTTTTTGTTTTTTACACGACTCACAAACTTTAAAAATAAAATACTAATCATCGAGTCTAAAGAGTTTATAACTAGCCTACATATGTGTGAGAGAGAAAGAGACAGTGTGTGTGTGTGTGTGTGTGTGTGTGTGTGTGTGTGTGTGTGTGTGTGTGTGTGTGTGTGTGTGTGTGTGTGTGTGTGAGAGAGAAAGAGACAGTGTGTCATTAAAAAAATAATATCATAGAGAATGTTTAAATGCTAATATCAGCTTACGAGGGAAACGGAGGCGAAGTAGTGGTGCTTCGAAGTGCTGGGGATGATTCGGGAGAGGTCCGTGCACCTTACCGATCAGAGCGCGCGCTGACACGGAGTAAAGCCTTTATACTCGACACCACAGCATGAGGCGAGCGCGGCATGACAAGTTGATCGTTTCGCCACAGCTTTTTTGTAACAGCGCGTGCGGCGCCGGCCACATCCGAGGATGAACGACTTAAAACTGAATATGTCCGAGCAGGGACGTGCACAGGAATTTTGAGGGGCAGTTGCTCTGACCTGAAAAAAGGGCACCCCCTTCCCTCCTCCCCCCTCACGGGCTATATGAAGGAATATATTCAGTTGAATTTGTCCCCTTCCAAATTGCCTTATCTGGCCGTGTTTATGTCCAAACGCAATGCCTCATCTTATGGTCTTATAATTATTTATAAAGATTGCAAAATGTCAGAGATGAGACAAATGAGCAAAAGAGTTCTTCATATTGTTGTTTATTGTTTTTTAAATTATTTATTTATTTATTTATTTATTTGAAAAGAAATAATCTGGATTGAATGGAAAAAACTCGAAAAAATAAAAAACGCTTAGATTTCGGGAAAAAATACAATTCTTTTTTTTTGCCAATCCTGACCTCCCCCTGGGGCCCTAAGCAAAATTCTGCTAAGGGGACCTCTACCTGATCTGTGATGCCGTGAGCCATGTAAACCATTTGCCATTACCACTCAATACCGCCCAATACAATCCTCCCTCCTTTAAACAAAACAGTCAAAGAATAAGTACAACAATATAGAACAGAATGAGGATCAAACAAACAATATTTACTGAATAAAGCATTTTTATAGAATGTTAAGATAACATTAACATTCACATAGCTAATTGAATATTAACGTAAACATAAACAAGAAGAAAATAATAAAGTACAACCCTGAACTTTGGCTTTTGGGATTAACTTTGGTTCTCTCTACAGCCAGGGTATTTTCGGAATCAGTAGCCTATGATTTTTATTTAATTTTTTTGTTTATGCATGTTAAAGCAAATCTTGATTTATGGTTATTTACTGAGGGATTTGCATTCATATTGACCAGAATGTCCATCTAATCATCATTTTAAATTCAATATAGCCTATAAATCAATCAATCAATGTCAAATTGCCAATACATTGGTTTATATCTTGCATAATTAGTGCAGTTGTTTAGAGTTTTTAACTACACTGAGACTAGATAATCAGTGTCTTTATAATGTGTACTTTGATTGGAAGTGCCATCATTCACGTATTGTACAGTATTTCTCTGGTCTCCACATTTCTGCTTGAAAAATGCGAGTTCGTGCACGCGCATATGAACGCAACACACGCGACGTGGTTATGTTTTCCGAGCTGCAGTAAACAAACACTGTTGTTGCACTTTGTCGTTTATCAAAAACAAAACGTAATAAATAATGGTATTTTACTCTCACTTTTGTCAGGCAAAAAGTGATGCAAGAGATGCACTGCCTGCCCAGACAAACCATCAAACTTTGCTGACACTAGAGAGGACAGAACACAAGTTTACCTGACTGCTGTTCCCGCAATTCACTCTCATGTTTTTCTTCTTCCTCTTTTCGTGACGAGAAGGATAGTTTCGCTTCATTTTGTCATGGACTTCGTACACATTAATTAGCGCACGACACGAGATGGAGGCGCGGCCCGAGTAATTTGAGGTGCCTTTACCATACGCACCGGTCGCGTGCAGTCTATGGTCTCGTGGAAACAGTTTGACTTTCAATTTTTTTATTTTTTTTTTTCTCAGAAGGGGAGGAGTCGAGAAGGGCATATGGGCAGTTGCCCGGGCAACCTGAGCAACCCCCCTGTGCACGTCCCTGTGTCCGAGCTTGCTCTTGTCTCAACTCTTTCGTCATTATGTTAAGCCCGCCCGCCGACTCTATACACAATGTGATTGGCCCGGCCAGAGTTGGGGTTTTCCAGCTAAAACGTCTATGGAGAGTTGCTAGACCACACTTTGCTGCAAAATAATTTTTGCTGCCACTAGGGTGCGTCTAGATTTCGAGGCTAGGTGCATACACTAAAATGTCCAGAATTTTTTTTTCGCGATATTTCCAGCAGAGCAGACCCTCCAATTATTTGTTCTAAGGGTCAAAGTTAACAGAAAAAAATAAAAAGTTTGGCAGACCATGTCAGGTTCAACCCATCTTTGAGACTTTGCCTCCCCAACTAATATGGTTGCTAGGTGATCAGGTCAGAACACTTTAAGTAGATTTTACTCAAATAGTGAAAATAGCGCATTGCCTTCAAATAGCTCAGCTCAGCTCAGATTTTTTTTTTTGTCTGATTACAAAATTTGCAAACACAGGTCACATATCTAAAGAAAATTTGTAATTTTTACTTGTAGGGTTCCAATGGGCCACCTGGTTTTCCAGGTATCGATGGAATAAAGGTAAGAGACAGGTATCGTTATTTGTTTAACATTTCAATCAAAAACATATTGTTTTGAATACACAATAAATAGTTCATGTATATTTTATGTACACTATTTGTATACTCTGTGTCCTTCTCCAGCCGGCTCTCCCCTCTACACTATAACGTAAATCACCCACAAACATTTTCCAGCCTGCGCGCAGCTGCATCCAACCAGCTGCATTACACACTCTTCTCTGCTCGGCGCGCTTCCACACACACTCTTTTTTCTGCGCGCGCTCCCTCTTTACACACACACACACACACTTCTCTCGGCGAGCGCGTGTGTGTGTGTAAAGTGGGAGCGCGAGTGTGTGTGTAAAGTGGGAGCGCGCGCTGGAAAAAGAGTGTGTGTGGTTGTGCTGTGAGACAACCACACACACTCTTTTTCCAGCGCGCGCTCCCTCTTTACACACACATAAAAACCTCTTTACTGTATTATTTGTGGATTAAATATTCACATAAATAAACCCACAACTCCTTTTGTAGGCAAAAACAAACAAATAAGCTCACAACTCTTCTGATGAATTTTTAGATAAACAAAACCTGCAGCTTCTCTCACAGGTAAAAACAAACAAATAAAAACTAGGGATGTCCCGATCCGATACTCAGGATCGGTATCGGCTCCGATCCAGCAATTTTTGCGGGATCGGGTATCGATCAGACGAAGCCGATCCAAATCGGATATTGTGCGTATACTATTATGTTATTGTTAAGCCCCACAGAAGGCACAAAAACATTCTAAAGTACCATAACGTTTTTGTGCCCTCTATTATAAGTGTTCTGAAGCCATTATGTGAGAGAGAAATTAATATTTAAGTCATTAAACTATTGCATAGATAGATACTGTTCAATACCCTGTCCATCAATATGTATTTCCTTTGTGTTTAAACTTTTCAAAGCGGACTCGACGCGCATCGTGCATACCATAGGGTGCATACTCGGCTGCGTGCTGTAACTCCACATGGTTTCAAGCGTATCATTCTGCGCTTGGAATGCGCATAAGCACTTTGTGCCGCACTGTGTTGGAGTCATTCATACAGTGTCCATGTCTTTCTTTCCTCAGTCGAAAAGAAATTTAGGTTTTTGATGAAAACATTCCAGGATTTTTCTCCATATAATGGACTTCAATGGGAACCGGATGGTTCAAGGTCCAAAAGATAGTGTTAATAACTGTTTCAGATGCAGCTTCAAATGTCTTTAAACAATATTAGACGATGAATAAGGGTCTTATCATGCGAAACGATCGGTTATTTCAAAACTTATTCCAAAATGCAGTGACGCAATTAAAGCTTATTAACATTAATAATTATTAATGTTGCTGCCTCATTAAATAGCTGTGCTATACACTTAAAACATGTCTAATTTTTTTATTAGCCTTGGCTATATCTAAAATAATTATCTTTTTCATTTTTGTTATATTGTTTTTCATGAATGTATTTTACAACAATACAAAGAGCAATATGTATTATTCACTAATCTAGTTTATAATAGCATTTTTGTCATAGATTATGATAATATATTTTGGGGATTTGTTGTCTATCTTTATAATGAAGCTGTCTGTATTAAGTAGATTGTGTTTAACACACACAAGAGTGATAATCAGTTTAACACACAGTTAAATTTTACTTGCTTTAAAAAAACTGTACTGGTATTTACAATGTAGAATACTGCTGTTTAAATTGTTTTAACTTTAAACCTGTTGGTAGCTAGCTAGCTTTAAAGGATTAGTTCACTTTTGAAAAAAACTTTTGCTGATAATTTACTCACCCCCATGTCATCCAAGATGCATGTCTTTCTTTCCTCAGTCGAAAAGAAATTTAGGTTTTTGATGAAAACATTCCAGGATTTTTCTCCATATAATGGACTTCAATGGGAACCGGATGGTTCAAGGTCCAAAAGATAGTGTTAATAACTGTTTCAGATGCAGCTTCAAATGTCTTTAAACAATATCAGACGATGAATAAGGGTCTTATCATGCGAAACGATCGGTTATTTCAAAACTTATTCCAAAAATGTAACTTTTCTAAGGACAAATGCTAGCCTTGTAATATATTGTGAGGCGCGTTTGTAACGTCACGTAATACGTAATTACGTTCAAAAGGTCACAGGCGACGTAGCCGGAAGTACAGAATCAAAATCGTCCGACATCGTTGTTTTACCTTTTAATTCCTTTTTTGTAAACGGCGTTTGAGTTAGTTTTCACGGTTAACCTATGCGTTCAACTTGTAAACACTCTGTAGTTCTTGACTCTGTAGTTCTGGCTACGTCGCCCAGGACCTTTTGAACGTAATTACGTATTACGTGACGTTGCAAACGCGCCTCACAGAATGGAGAAAGGCTAGCATTTGTCCTTAGAAAAGTTACATTTTTGGAATAAGCTTTGAAATAACCGATCGTTTCGCATGATAAGACCCTTATTCATCGTCTGGTGTCGTTTAAAGACATTTGAAGCTGCATCTGAAACTGTTATTAACACTATCTTTCGGACCTTGAACCATCCGGTTCCCATTGAAGTACATTATATGGAGAAAAAACCTGGAATGTTTTCATCAAAAACCTAAATTTCTTTTCGACTGAGGAAAGAAAGACATGGACATCTTGGATGACATGGGGGTGAGTAAATTATCAGCAAAGGTTTTTTTCAAAAGTGAACTAATCCTTTAAGTACTGAAATACCTGCATTTTCTTTTATATATATATATATATATATATATATATATATATATATATATATAAGAAAATGCAGGTACTTCAGTACTTTATTCAAACACTACAATATATATATATATATATATATGAAGAGTTCAGATGCAAAAGCCTCTAAATGCCATTTGAAATTGTCTTCTTTAATGATGATTTTTATCAAACTTGTATATTTAAGTTCAGTAATTTCACTTAAATAACAATTAATAGGTAATTATCATTGCCATTTAAGTGAAATCGCTGAACTTAAATATACAAGCTTGATAAAAATTATCATTCTAGAAGAAAATTTCAAATGGCACTTAGAGGCTTTTGCATCTGAACTCTTCATATATATATATATATAGTAGTGTTTGAATAAAGGTTGCAATCTTTCATAATCAACTGTTGTTGTGAACTATATACTGGAGGTATATTTTAAGGGGCTAATTGAGAAAATTGCTATATTTTTTATTAGTTTAAAAATAAAATAAAAAATATCAGATTAATATCGGTATCGGTATCGGCAAATGCCAAAGCCTTCACTTTGCTTCGTAGACAGAGTCTGGAATGGCATAATAGAGAAGTGTTTTCTCTCGCGCAAGGGGGCGCTTCTCTGAAGTTTAAAATCATTGGTTACCCGTAAGCCAATCAGATAAGTTTATTTATGACGTATGTTATGCGCCGACACAGCCGCATCGAGACATTATGCATCGAACTCAAATATATGATCGAACTTCCACTGTAGACAGGGAGCGGCGCTATTGTAAGGGCTGCAAAATGTGTGCCAACCGGGAATGAACAATTAACAAACTAGGTTATTTATATGAATTACTGAGTTGCGGCCGCCCCGCAGCATCGGCTTGCCCTGCTCTCACGAGTCATGAATGATTTAGTTTCCGCCGCCCCGCAGCGCCGCGAGGACGAAACCCTGCTCTCGCGAGTCATGACTGATTTAGCTTCCGCCGAGGACGAGCCCCAACCCCTGCTCTCACCCTTTACTGTCTATGGCTCTCACGAGTCAGGAATAATTTGGTTTCCGCCGCCCCTCAGCGCCGCGATCGAGCGCGAGACCGAGCCGCTGCTCTCGCGAGTCATGAATAGGAAGTTAATTTTACTGATTTTCTGAGTCATTCGAGTCATTTTGTTTATTTAAGTAGCTTAATGTTATAATTTTAACAGCCAAATTCCCCTATCACATCCACCTGCGCAATGTTGATCATATTCTGAATTAAGAAATCATAATGCAGTAAAAAATGATTTACAGGGAACATAAATAATCACTTTACCTTGCTTCCGAGTCTTACGTTCATTTGTCACGTGACATACACAATGAACAGATTGTTTATGAATCACATATTTGGGACTAATGCAGCAGGATGTCGAAACGAAATATGGTGGATTATTATTATGATAATAAGAGCGCGCCAGGAGCGTTCACAGCCGAGGAAACCAACGTTATTGTCATGGCCGTAAAAGACAGAGAACTGACGTTGAATGGGGGTAAGTTATGTCCTTATAGTTATGCATATAGTTATGGCCAAACAGGTCTGATCCGTCATTACTACAATTAGCCTGAAAAAAAATGGGTAGCCTAAATGCCTAAGCTTGAAGTGTTAATATTTGTCCTTGTTATAATGATTTGCAAAAATAAAAACGTCTGCACGCGCCGGTCCTAGCTGTAAACACTGATGATGCGAGCGGACATGGCTGTAAACGACTTTTGCTTCAGTTTGAAAAACCCCGGAATGTTCTCCATAACAGAGCGAATTGCATCCCGTGTCTTGTTTCCCATTTCTGCGGTTGTTTCGGTTTTCAATTTCTCTAACCTACAATGTACTCCTCGGCGCTTAGCGGCTACGTCACGGCTCTCAGCCCGCCCTCGGTTCGTTGATTGGCCGGCTGTTTTCAGGCCGGTGAAAAACTGAAAGATAGGCCGCTATCTCAGACTGACTACAGGAGCGAAATGAAATTAGCGGAAGTAGGAAGTCTGACGTAGTCAGGCTATAATAACGAGCCAATGGCATGAAAATGCCTTGGGGTTGCGGAATTTGCATAGCGTAACTCCGCCCCACCCCGTGGGTATAAAAGGAGGAAGTGAACGCAACCGCAGTATGTTTTCGCTTCGGAGCCAAGAGACTTCTTCACTCCCAAAGCCAGTTTCACTGAGTACAACTCTTCGAGACGAGCGTCCTCTTCAGTGTTGGTGTGACGGCGGTACCCAGCGAGATTTTGCATTGCCTGCGATCTGAGCAGTGGTCTGCCAGACTTTGCGCTTCTCCCTGGTCGCCTCAG